GCATAAAAAGAAAAGAATACTCTAATACAGTGGGCATAACAGACGGTCAATCCTTCAAAGATTCGTATCTCAGAGGTAGCTCACCTGGCCGGCAGATGTTGGCAAGGTCCGCTAACTTTCTCGAAGAGCGAACCCTTTTGCTCTCAGCCTGGCCGATTCCTCTCCGACGAAAGAAACAATTTTTGATTTCTGATCGAAAACTACTGCTTTTCAATCGAAACAATCGAATGAACAAAAACGAAATACACATCCAATTTCTTCCATTTCATCGTAAATTCACCGAAATGGAAATCTTGACCGTGACAAATCTTGGCCAGCCCCGCCAAAGCCCTCTCCCCTCCACCCATAAAAGGTTATTAACATACGAGGGATCTCGTGTGCCAACTCCATCCCCGATTCTAAGCTTCCAAAAATCTATGCGACCATTACCTCCCTTCCCGCTCATTTCGCCTATGCCACCAACCCGATTTATATAGCATTAGTGTTTCCACGAGCAGATTTTCTGCATCCACGATTCTTCCACTCTGCTCTGATAATCCCCGCCAGATATAACGTTTATTCAGATTCTTTCACGAGAGGCTGATAATTAGTTTCTTAAACGGTTCGCCACGAGTTTGCAGTTAAAACTGTACGGTTAAGGAAAAGAAGATTTCTATCCGATTTGAAATAGAGAGAGAGAGAAATAAAAAATGCACGCTCTTATTCAACTTCCTTTCACCCGAGAAAACACAATCACCCTCTAAAACCCTCGAAAAAGCCGAGGAGCAAAGCGTTCGATATAAAATTCACTTATCTAAATTCCTCCCCCATACGACGAGGCGAACGATCACGCTTTCTTTCTCTCTCCCCCTTTAAACAAGCCTAAGTGAACAAACGCGACACTTCTCGACTCGCCAAGCTTCATTTTGCCACCCCCGATAAGCACAATTTTCCACGATGGCCTGACCCATGTTGGCAACTCAAAAAAGCGTCACGATACCACCCACACTTTTGGGCGTGTCTCTTAGACAGGTGCCTCTCGCACAAGGAAAGAAGGAGAGAGAAGCAAGGGGAGGGAGAAGGTATATCTCTCGCTTTGTTTGGCCGCACGATCCATGGTCGAGCCACTGTCTCGGACATGGAAGATCAAACGGCGGGATTCTCCCCGGAGGTATGCGCCGCTTTGGCAGGCTCGAAAGGAGGATACAAACACGGGGGAGCAGCCGTCCTTTCACCGCGCTTTGTTCACCATATATAAAAAAAAAGAAAAGAAAAAGGTCGATCCCCCTTTCCTCTGGTGTTTCTCGAGCGACGCTTTCCCTATGAAGATGCGTGCGAAGAGTAAACTTGACCGTGAAAAGCTCGAAAGAGAGAAGAGAGGATTGCTGGAGAAATTTTTTTTTCATTCAATTCGAGGATTGAATTGTCGCGTCGAAAGAGGGATTTGAATATTTAGGGGACGGAGGAGGAGGAGGCTCTCTTGATTGATATTCGGCGAGTTAATTGGGGAAATAATTAATGGGGCGTAAAATTTGGCAGGAAGCAAGGGGAAAAGTTTTACTGTGGAGGTTGGAAGATCGCCGCAGGGAACATTCGTCACGCGTAACTGCCTTTATTATTAACCGCAGAAACATTAACAGGGGGACCAAGTTTCCGCAAACGAAACAACCGAATATACGAAGTTGAGCTTTTTCGGGAAATTCGGGTCAGACGAGACGAAGCCATTCGTACTCGTTTCTGTTACGTCGAAAATCGATTCGAATTGCAAAATTGTTGTTACGAGATTGAAATTATCCTCGAGAAACAACGTTTTATTTTCTTCCCTTATTATCGATTAAATTTTAACCGGGCGTAGTTTGAGAAAAGTTTGAAGAGAGATCGGAGTTTTCTGAAAATTCGTGGACAAGTTATTAGTCCTTAGATTAATTACGTGTTAAATTTTAAGATTGCCACTTTATCCGGTTGTCAGTGTACTCGTCCGCGGATGGGCGAGAGTAATTAATAATTAAAATTATCATTTTACTTGGCTGCCGCACCACCCCCGTTATCAGTAGCGAATTAATCGCGCCAGTTTGTCAAGATAATTTCTATTCGCGGAATTTATTAATGGGGGAGATTGTTGCTACGGATCTCGTCCTCGGGAGTATCATTGTTCACCGTCCCCCTGTTAAATTATATTCGGTTAACTTATTATTCCAACCACGCGTGTACATTTGTCCTTTTACAATTATATCAAGTTTCATAAAGTATATTTCAATGTTTTAAATCACCACGTTTGGAATCGTCAAATATTTTTTTGAAAATAAATAAATATCTAAATTGATTAATTATGGGAATGAACGTAAAGCGCGGTGATCGTTACTTCGGAACGAGAGTTTTGGATAATAAAATATCGTTACTCAATGCTCGAATTGTTCGCAGCAACATCCGATGCCCAGATTGGTGCTCGATTTCATTGCATGTTCCGGTTGGAAATATACTTATATACATATCTATACTTTGTGCAAGAAATAATTTGTTGCCACTCCAAGTAGTGTAACCAAACTTCGCCGAGAAACGTGTTATAAACTTCTTGTTTACAAAGGATCGATTACGTGAATGATCGTAGAGCTAATACACCCCGTGCTTCGCCATGATAAATTTACGATTTATAGTTATGGAAAAAGTGTGTTCAGTTTCATGCAGATATATCGAGTTTCCTTGTTTCGACGTTATTTAAGAATCGGATATCGAAGTTGTTCTCTTCTAGATTGAAAAAGTTAGGGCTATTTTTTTTTATATGGATTTATTGTTAATTATTAATACTGGCGGATGATTTAAAATTTAAATTTCCTGGACGACGTCATGGTGATATTTCGTCATAAACATCACCAACAAGGCATCGCTAATTCAGAACCGCTGATACGTTAGGGTGAAGGGTGAGTTAACCGCGTTTTCAATGGTTAATTATCGCGTTTCACGAACAAATAACCCTGACTGTGGTCGAGAGATCATCAATGGTGCTCCAAGTTGAAGCTTTGAGGTGTAAAATTTTACGTTTACATTCGTTTATTAATTTTAATCCTCCCAAGGAAAAAAGCATACGATTACAAAATTCTATCTAAAACCAGACATAACACTTACGAACACTTCGAATTAATTAAACGCCAAAAGCACAAAGGTGCAAGGTACAACATCAAACTCAATTTTCTCAAAATCAAGTAAATTTCCCCTCACGAAAAATGTTTCCAAAATTTTACTCTCCCCCTGAATGAGACCAAAAGCGATAATTAATCGTCACGTAAGGAGCCAAGAACCAAACACGCAAAAATTTCCATTAACCAGAACGCAAAAATGACTCTCCTCCATTTGCCCTCGACCCAGTGTCCCAAAGCGAGAAGGGGCGAACAGGGTCAAGAGAGAGAGAGGCTCCTGTTTCAAACCCTCGAACAAAGACAGAGAGAGAGGAATGGCGGCAAACTTTATAAAGCAACGACTGTTTTGTCTCGATGATTTGCAGCATCTGCACGGAGCACCTCGAGCAAACCACCACCAACCAGAGCCAGATCCATTCCTCCTGTGTGCGGCGAAGTAAGAGCATTTAGAGGGTCGGTTTTCGTGGAGGTGGGCGCGAGAATTATTTGGAATTAGACGACGACGACGACGCGCTGCCGCAACCTCCACCTCCCCTTTTGGCCTCTCTAGGTGGCAACTAGGCGTGGCTGTCGGTGGCCACCATCGTTTTCGATCCTTTTGCTCCTTTTCTCTCGCGAGGCGATTGTAGCCGGGGAAGGGAAGAAAAGAGCCGGTGGGGCCCCTCCTTTTCACGGTATCGGTGGCCCCAAACGGCCTTTAATAATTCTGCCCTTCCTCCCCCCCACTCTATTTCCGCCCCGCTCTTTGTTCGCCCCGTAATTCGCTGAATTAGAGGGTGCCGCCGCGTGTCCCATGAACCAACCGCACGACCGATCCTCAGCTACGATTATACTGTGTTTTACGTAGACACCGAGCGAAAGAAGGGAAAGGACGATTCTAAGTTTGGCGTGTGTGACTTGGTCCGTTTATAATTGTGTATATTTTGTGTTTTATTGTGATTTCTGAGGGAAGGGGAGGGAGATAGGAATAAGGATGTTAGGTTGGAAGAGAGTTGCAAAATCGTTATTTCGATGAAACGTATATTATTTGTTTCATCGGCTATCGACGATTCGAAGATATAAATTTAATATTTCTCCCGGAAAAGGAGAGATATTCGGGGGGTATCGATCGAGTGCAAACGTTCAAAGAATCATGGAAAATTACGATAGATCGATAGCGTGGCAGGCGGAAGAGGAGGTCGAAGCGATGGCGTACGTTCCTGGCGCAAGTTTGATGCGGGTCTAATGCAATCGTTAAATAATTATGTCGAAACGCAATTACAGTCTCCTGTGAATTGGGGATGAAACTATTCTCATTGTGCATTTAATTATAGAGCGCCATAGCAATTTCCGCGACGATATAATCTTTCGAGTGGATAACATTTTTTTTTTAAGAAGATAAAAAGAATATTATTCTTAAAGGATATACACTTTTTGGAAAATTAGTTATAGAAAAATCATCGATTTCGATTTCGAGCCAATGTTTGATCAAGAAAATTAGACGATACGTTTGAAAGGGAGCCGTTTGATGGATACGTTCTTTGAATTTTGCAAAATTGGCAGAATTAGCAGTGAACAGAATACACCATTGAAGGTTGGAGTTTGATCAAATCTTTCAAGATTGCCATTATTTGGAATTATGTTCCAAGAAAATTCAAAAAATTTGCAAAAATGGCTTACGTATTTTTTTTTCGTTTCTGATCTTTCTAAAATGATAAAATTTTCTTCTTCTCGTTCTTTCGATACGAATTTCTAGCAAAATTTATATAACTTTCTCTTCGATTAATCATATCTTATTTTCAAACGGTAAAATAATATTTCTGTTAGATTTTTATCTTCATCCAACGATCGTTATCAATAAACGAGCCATATAAAAATTATTCTCCGGGAGTAAAATGATGTGTTACATTCAAAATTTCACCCTCGAAAATTCACCCCTCATCGAACGGTGACGTTAACATCCTATTATCGCATCGTTCATCAAGAAAAGGTCAATCGTAATGTTACCACGTGTGTATATACCTGTAAAATAGATAATTCATCGATCCGCCGACAAACTGAACGCGAAACGTTACACAATCGAAGCAATTCGAAACGCGGTTACTATAGTCGCATTAAATTAATGCCAGATTACTGCGACGAAACTACTCTGTCACGGAATCGATTCGCGGTATAACAAAATGTAATTCAATGCTCGCACATAACTCGACACTTGCCCACAGTAACATCCTATAATCGAGCCATCGAATCATCACCAACACCCACTTCTTCCAGGTTTCAACGTGGATCAAAAAGAAAATAGCTCTTCAAACGACAAAAGCAAATTGATTCAAAAATCGAGACGAAAAAAGAAGCCTTTACGATACGCGCGATATTAGAGACGATTAATTAAGACGAAAGGTTTGCAAGGATCTCGTTTTTATCGGGGTTGATCCGATTGTTCTTCCGCTTGACCACGCCGCTCTTCACCCCTTGTTCGAAACGTATCGTTCGTGGCACGATTCACCCTCGAGCCCGTCCAGGGAACACGCGGGAATTTCGGATTAAAACGAAACTTTAAGCCTGGATTAGGATGGTATTCGATGGCCGGAAGTGGTTCTGCCGAGGGGATGCGTCTTTAGCCGATTCCACGGCGTATGCTCGATCAAGCTTCAGAGAAGGGTGAACCCCTTTCCAAGATTTTTGACGTTCAAAGAACACACTACGATTTGTAAAATATAAAAAAATAAGAGATAAGAAGTAGAGGATACGCAAATAGAAGAGGTGCACTCTGAACATCCATCAAACATCCCAACTTTGCTCCGATCAAAGTACATCCTCCAATAAGTGTCATCTCGTCCAAGAATCTGCTTTATGATCCCGCTCCACTTTTCCCTTATCCTTGCACAACCCTTTCACGACACGATGCCTTTCAGCTCAAGGGTTGGAAGTTTTGGTAAATTAATTATCGACGCGTGCAGAGTATATATATATATATATGGACAACAAAACCAAGGGGGTTTTTGCCCGAAGAGGGTCGTGACACCCAAGAAAGAGGTTCTGTTTCGAAGGTTGTTGTTCGAGGATTGTACGCCGCTTGCACGAAATATTATAATACGATCCACGCTGATAAACGCACGTTTGGATGTTTGTCGAGATGGTGGTTGAATGGCGGTATTGTTCGTCCAGAGATGGTTGTTCAGATGAGAATGGCCCTTCGAATTGTCGGCCACGCCGTTTAAATGATCCTCCTGGCCGCGTTTTTGGCCAGATCGGTTAAGATCGCTCGAAATTTATTACCACTCTTAATCCACACTTTCGATCATGTTTGATGGTCCACGTGTTCTTTTTCCCAAAATTTGTTCCTTCGAGTATAATTTCTAATTTCAATACGAATCGGGGGAGATACTTTTATCTGTGAAATTGCTCTGATCGAAATTCATTCACGACTCTTCGATCATCCTTGTAAAGTTTTTTTTCCATACGAGTTTCAAAATAGGAATCGAGGAGATACTTTTATATCTGTGAAATTGGCCTGCTATATCCATCAATTGGTTCTTCTTCCGTCGTGAAGAGCGGTTTTCCGTTCACAGAATCCCGCAGCTAAGTTTCAAAGCGTTGTTGATCGCCAAAGTATTACCCAATTGTTTCAACAACCTCCTAAATCTTTCATTACAGATCGAATAACGCACGCTCGACCGGATATCGGAACTTTAGATGTTCGAATAACCGGGAACGTCGGGGTGAAATCGATACAAACACAGCTTCTCCCTTACTACTCTCGAGTTGATTCTCGAGAAATTAAAATGTCCCTAAGATATTGAAGATCGTCAAATTTTCTCGTTGCATCACGTAGCCAATTCGAAAATTTCTCCACCCAAAAATACTTCGTCGTAACATTTATTCGAATCTCTCTAACGACGAAAAAAATTTATTTCAATTATCTTCTCCGTAATGTATTTTCGATAGATTCAGATATTTACCGTATCTTTCGTATGATAATAATAATAATAATAATAATAATATCGTATAAAACTCACGGCAAGCCAGAGTTTTATCGCGCAATGTACGCATCGAGAGGCGGCGAATAATATGTTTTTTTTTTTAATGATAAAATTTGTCGCGTTCGAGGGGATGGTGGATTTATTACGCCGTTGAAAATCGTGATTTTTCCCTTTTAATTGCACAATTATTCGGGCGAACGGATGTCAGAATGGGCGGCACGCGATTATTAAAGGTAATCGATTCTCACCCGGCTTTCACTTTTTTTTCCACACCGCGCTCGAAACAACGTGATACCCCGCCCCCCTGTTAATAACGTTTTAAAATCGGTTTTTCCTTGTGTACTTAAAATATCCCGGCATGTTTATTTTTATGGGCGTCGACCGCTCGATACGAAAACAACGACCGCTATAATTCTCTATAAATAGAGGGAGCATTGCGCGAAGATACTTTTCCACGGTGGACTGGATGATGCGTGACGCAAACTGATAAACTGTGAAAAAAAAAAAAAAAAAGAAAAAATCCAATAACTTTTACGAGCTCTTTACGATCCACTTTGCATTAAACACACCTATCTTCGATACCTTATACCAATAGGCTCTTGTAAATCGTGGAATTAATCGGGATAGTTGATATATTTTCAATGATAATAATATTCCATTTGAGTTGAAAAATAATCTCTCTTCTATATTTTATGCAATTTTTTTTTTTTAGAAACAATCTCGATCGTTGTTCATTCACAAACGATCGTGATTTCTTTTCTTTTTTTTTAGTCTGATAAGAGGAGTGTTTAAATATTTTTCTTAAATATTTTACATCGTTGAAAGAGGAAATCAATTCAAAGGGGGAATATTTTCTACACTATCGAATTCCTTTATTATTTATTGCACACGAAAATGATCGAAAATGAATTCCGTTTGAAAAGGAGAAAGCATCTCCGACGCGTTGTATTTATCATTTTTACAACGAGCACAACGAAACGAAATTCGTTTTGTTTTTTTTTTTTTTTTAACACTCGTTCCTCCTTTCCATCCTCTCCATCCTTTTTGTTTTTCATTTCCAGTTTTCGGCTTTAATGGGCCATTCAAACGGACGATTGAAAATTGTTCGCTTCGACGTGTTTCCGCTCGCTATAACTCGCATTATTTCTCTTTCCGACCGAGCCAGGAGGAATCCAATTGCGGATTAATCTACTATTTTTCTTTCTTTCTCTTCTTTTTTTTTTTTTTTGGTAAATCTCGTTGATCTCCTTGTTTTTTGACCGCTCGTTTTTTCGATTTACTTGTTTGCCTCCCGTGTAATATCTCTTTCAACGCGGATGGTAAAAATCCGTGTACATTTAAAAATCGGATAAAGTTACGATTCCTTGGAAGAGTTAAAAAATTCAAAGAGACATAAAATGTTCACGGGGAGAGTAAAAACGTACGCTTGATTAAAAAAAAAAAAAGAATCAAATTCAGTTCTACACGAATTTGATTATTTTTCAAGATTATTCTTTCGACAAAAAATTTAATCCAATTTATAAATTATACATCTTTTCGTTCTAACGATCTTAGCGACAAAAATTAATTCTTCTCCATAAAATGAAAAACACACGATCGACACGTGCAAAAATCCTCTCGATCCGCTCTCAAAATTACCTTTTCAAAATTGCGCGAGTCAATCAAGAGGAAGGTATGTTATCAAACGCCGAGCAGAAGTTCCGCCGAAACTCTAACTCGATTCCAAGCTTTATAATACACGTTGCTTGAAAATGATGTTGTCTACGTATAGATAATGGAGAGACAGAGGGAATAATTCCTCTATTACATTAACCGATCTCTGTCCGGCGACAGAGATGTCGAGCAAGGAGCGTGCAATTTAATTAGCATCCCCTCGAATCGTTATCGGGTCGTGTTTCAGAAGGGGGTGTTTTTTTCGTAGCCCCAGGGAGACAAACGAGCGTTTCCACGTGGCCGGATGTCTCTGATTAATTGACATTATGTTTATCGAGCCACGGATTCGAATGGCTCCGCTCGGCTGTGCTCGATCGATACATCGAATGAAAAGAGGGGGTGGTGGTGGTGGCAGCTGATAGGCATTAATGACGTTGACGCCGACGTTAAAATTCGATCCATCGAGCGCGTGGAATTCGTTTCGCGGAAGCGGCCTTGTCGAAGTAAAAAAATTCGCGGTTGACTGCTTTGCGAAAGGGTTTTTTTCCTTTTTTTCTTTCTTTTTTTTTTTTTTTGATTCCAATTTTTCGGGGGACGTTACACCCATCCAACATTTTGAAATGTAAATTTTTCAATGTTTTTTCCCTATTTTCGAAGTGGTTCAGATATGGCTGAAAATTTTTTTTTTCCTCTTTTTAAAATATTATATATGCGTTCGGTCCCGGCGCAATATTTTTATTCGAGGTGGAAAGATTTTTTTATTGGTTTATTTTGTAAATTTAATTTTTGGAAATACTCGTATTTTTTTATTATTATTATTATTGTTATATTATTTCGCCGCATCGATCCGTTTTTGGAACCAAGAAGATTTTTTTTTGTTTTTGGTGTATATATATGTATATTTGATCTTTAACGAAGATTTATGCGATTTTTAAACGATTAATTTAAAGCAACGTTTTCAATTTTAATAAAATTGATATTCCAATTAAATTAAATTAAAAATTGTTAGAGTTACACGTAGAATTTTTGTGTATCTAATATGTCGACGAAGTCGATATTTGTTTCCATGAAAAGTATTAATTTTTTACATATAAAAGGGGGAGGATGATATTTAAATATTTTCGAATTAGAAATGTTAAATAACACCTGTGATCTGGGTTATTATAGATAAGATTTTAGATAAAGGTACAAACCGTATACATTTAGAACCGTATGATCAGCCATACTGGTAACATATCGGTGTTGAACTATTCAATATTTAACTTTACTTTTTTCTCGTCCTTTACTCTCCTTATTAAAACATATTTAAAATGAAAAGAAAGGACAAATATGAATTTTAATCCTCATCTAATATGTATAAAAAACTCCTTTCCAACAATTTTGTAATTGGCTCGAAATCAACGCTATCGATATTAATAATAACACTCTTTGTAATTCCATACATATTTTCCTAAATGAAAAATTTTTGATATATATATATATAATTTTTTCTTCGAATTTTTCGAAACGCGCGAATGATTCCAAATTATTACTTTTACTTTTTGGCATGGAAACAATAACATTTGATAAATGTTGTTAAAAAAATTTTTTTTCAATCCTCTATTACATTTAGACACTATTAATTAATTTCCAATAGCGAGGCCAGGTATTTCGGAACCGATCCATCTCGTTTATCGTTTCCTCGTCATTAAACCCGTGTGCAAATCGTGATGTATCAAGACTAAAAAAAAAAAAAAAAAAAAAGAAAAAAGTAGGATAAAAAAAAATTGCAAAAACATGTAGCTACGTTAATTTAAGCCGGCCGTTTCAACGTGTAGCGAACACCGAGGCAAGCGTTAATTTGATAAAAATATCAGCGAAAGGCTAACCCAATTTTCTCGCTTCTGAGCCAGCTTCTGAATTAACGGGCTAACGTCTACTTTGTCCTGCATTATTACATTAACCTGATTGCGCCGACAAATTAATTTCGTTGTCCATTATATTGTTGCTTAAAGTTGTGTGTACACCTTTGTCCTCGCGCGCATATATGTATATAACGCGATTCTGTATCGCCTATCACTTTCTTTCTTTCTTTCTTTCCTTCTTTATCTTTTTAATCTACTTTTCAATCAAACTTTGGAGCGAACATCGAAAGGAGGACATTTCGATCAACTCGAAGCGAACAAATAATTGATTAAAATACTTCAAAATTGCGTTTTTGTTTAATCATTTGATCACTCGATATTTTTAAAATTATTATCAAGAAGATTCGTATCGATTCGATAATTTTCTTGCGAAGCAAAGTTAAGGAAAAGAGAGGATAGAAAATTTGATAGAGACTCGTTTCGTGTGGTTATTAATTAATTGGCAGATATTGTTCGGTGGAAATTATGCAGCCGACGACATAATGAAGCTACGATTATTTTCACCGTCGTTTATTTAGCCGGCAATTTTATTTAATTTAATCGACAGACATTGTTCTTTTATAAGGGGGCTAAGATCGTTTCTCGAAGAATCGGATAATTGATCGGGCTCGATTGTTTAATAAACGCTGCTCAAATTACGGGATTATTACATCTCGTGTTCGGATGTGTATCGTTTGAATTATTGCACGCAATATAAATATAATAATTCATGATTTTCGTGTAAACAGTACATAATTGCATATATCACTTAAGTATAAATATAAATAATAATCATTTGCATTGATTGCGAGCAAAGTAAATTTGAGCAACAAATTTCCAACCGTGATATTTTCTTAATATTCTCGTAAAATAACTTTGCTTTTTTCCCTCCCCTTTATTTATATCATTCCTTTACATCTGAAATGTTTATACAAATATATTTATCATTACGTTGCTGTTATTACAAACTTGCAGTCACGTCTCCCTTCCATTCCAATCATACATAAACATAAAAATACGTCGGGAGCAGCATCGGTGACTGTCACAGTGGATTTGCCTAAAATATATTTATTTGACGTTGAAATAAACGAAAATATTTTTCAAATTAAAGAAAAAGGGAAAAAGCAAGTTGGGACATTCGCGGATAAATTCGGCCGAAACCCCCATCAGAGAAGTAGAGAAAAATTCGTACCACAAAAAGTGTAATATACGTGTTAGAAGCAGAAAAATCTAGAAAAGAAAAAAAATACCAAAATTTTAATCATTCGTTAATTACCATAAATCCATTTTCTCGAAAATATCCAAAAATTTCAATTCATTTATATTACTCGACTACGTTTATTCGATCCTTTATGGAATGTTCGATCTTCGACATTTTGCATACAATTTTACCTAAAAAGAAAAATCTCAAACATCTCCATCCTAACAAATGTCCATCCTCCCTGAAACGAGAACACGTCGAGTCCCGATTAAGATCGATACGCCGCCGGTTTGCTCGCGTGTTAATTCGGGCGAATTCCAGCGAGCATGCGGGACGCGGATTAAAGTGTTAGCCGGGTGTGTAACAGGTGAATTTACGGGGATGCCGACTTTTATTGCGCGTGCACATATCTCTCGGCGGCCGCACAATTTCTCCCCGATAATATCCACGCTTCGTCGTTTCATCCTTGCACGACTCGACTTCTCTTTCGATAACGTCCACCATGATTCTCAGACTTTTGTGCAATCTCTTGGAAACCGGATCCCTTGGCAGATAGACTGATAAAACTGTCTCCTCTCCGTCGTTGTGACTTGAGGAAACTTGATGGATACAATAGTTGGAGATAGAAACTTTTGTTCGATATTTGGAATACTTTAGAAATTTGGAAAAATAACCTCGAATTGGAACAAGTCTAAAACGCCAATTGCAGAGAGAAGAATCGAGTCGAGTTTACTTGGCTCCCAAGATTACCAAGTTAACCAATTCCAGCCATCGGATGCGCCGCGCCATCGAGTAGGAAAGTTGAAAAACCGAGATCCCCTCTGTGAGAGGAGGAGGAGGAGGGCCAATCCATTTCACAGCTCGTCTGCCAAACACCTCTTCCGTTTCCCGTATCTACGCGCCCCGTACGTATCGGGCAAACCGTTCTCGTCGAAAAAGAGTGGCAAAAATTCGAGGGAGAGAGATATCAGCTCCCGCCACGTCCTTGCGCATCGACGAGGAAAACCTCATCCTGAACCCTTTTGTTGCGATTGTCGTCTGTCCACTGTTTTCTTCCTCCCCGCTGCGGTCGAAATACGGATTTAAAATCGATCGTGAACATTCGTCCAACCTGTCGATCCATGCATCAGGTTTATCGGCGATTTTTCTTCGAGAAATACACACATCGATCGAGTAATCCAATTAAAAATATACGAATGTGTTCTCGCTTATCTCTGAAGATTTGTTGTTTACAAAAAATCTTAGCAGTAACGACTTGAACCTTTTTAAACAGAATTTTCAAACGCTTTTTCATGTACAAAAACGAAGAAAATCCTCGAATAAATCACAATTCTTCGACTCTGTCCACACGACAGCAACGATATAATTTGCGTGTAAAAACGCAGAGTCCAAGGAATCATCGTGTCTTGCGTAATTTCAACGAGCGATTATGCTTTCTTGAGCGCGAAAACACCGGAAACCGGTATCCACGGATGGTGTCGGTGCACCGGGGTGGTAGAGACGTATTGATCGGTGGAGAGCTGCTAGAGCGGCCCGCTGCTCCTTCTCCCACCCCCCTCCCTCCCTCACAACGGCACATTCCACCCCCTCGTGCAATCCTTCTTTCCCCTTTGTCTCAGTTTGCGTTTCCCGCCAAAGCGTCATCTCGACGATGGCTCGATGACGGTGTCGCCAACGTAATTAATTCCGCGCCAACGTAAATCTGTTATAATATCGTTAAAATATGCGAACACCTCACCAGCGATACATTTTATAGTGATTTTTCGAGATATGTTTTCAAATTTAATAAATAATTTAATAATTCTGGAAACAGGCTTGGAATAAAGAGGAAGTAAATTTCGTTGAAACGATTGATATTGATATAAGGAATATCGTATAATCATTGGAGGAATAATTTCAATTCTCATTAACACCATCAAGTTTACCTTACTGGAAACTTGTTGTGCGAATAAAACACTCTGGATTTTTGTAAAAATTCCATCCATCCCTTCCATTGGGAAAAACTTTATCCCGATATATCTTTCTCGAAGGGGGAGGAGGATCGCAAAAAAGTATCGCCGGAGCACTCAACGTTTCTCCCTTTTCCAGAGGAGAGATTAAAAAAAAAAAAAGAAAGGAGG